TATAATTGGATATTTTTAGTAGCGATGAAAGTTATTGCTTCGTCGGAGAGTATTAAGGTTCCTACCAATGTGAAGGTGACCGTAAATTCACGCGTTGTAACTGTTAAAGGAAAACGGGGAACTCTTAGGCGTAATTTCCGTCACCTTGCCGTGGATATTAAAGCCACCAACCGCAAGGTTACGGTTACCAAGTATTTTGGTGTCCGCAAAGAGTTAGCTGCTGTGCGCACAGTGTGCTCTCACATTGAGAACATGATTAAGGGTGTTCAATTTGGCTTCCAATACAAAATGCAAACCCTTCACGCCCATTTCCCCATCAACATTATTGTGCCTGAGGGAGGGAATGTGGTTCATATCAAGAACTTCCTTGGTGAAAAAACCACTAGAACAATTCCAATGGCGCCAGGCGTTAAGGCGATCACCGAGAGCTCTGGCTCAGACGCTCTCCTTATCCAAGGCAATGATCTTGAGAGTGTGTCCAAATGCGGTAAGATCTTATTTTATTGATTTATTCTAGTTTTGTAGCCGCTCTTATTCAACAATCCTGCGCTGCTCGTCATAAGGATATCCGAAAATTCTTGGATGGTGTGTACGTTTCTGCTCGTGGCACCGTGGAAGAGATGAATTAACTGTTAATAAATGTGTGGGTTTTGTGTACTCAATACTAATCACTTATTAACTGGAAAGGGTTTGGTTCTATAATGTGGGTCTGCGTTTAAGATGATTTGGGAATCATGTTTCGATGACTGCCTATACCTAGTTCTAGTTGTTAGGTAGGCACGTTTGACCTCAATATTTGTTATGTGAATTGTTTATTTATTATCTTGCCGGTTTTTAGTGTTTCTATTTGTTGTAACATTTGCTCAATATTTAATTTCTTTCCTTATTCTTTTGTGTCGTTATTGCTTACATTACTGAACCTTTTGGATGAATGGTTTTTTATTCGGAATTACGCGTCGTGTTATGGCTCTTACTCAAACGTTATCAGTTTTATTTGCATTTAATGTTCTAGTTCGATGTTTAATTAATTGTATTGGTATAAGTTTTCTGTAAGTTCAATCCGTATTTCTTTTATTTTGCTCTTAATATTTGCGTAATTAAAGTTAGGGGTCCAGAGTCAAGGTTATACTAATCGTAAGTAATACAGGCATAATTTAAGATCAAGCGTTGTATTCTTCCCTGGTTTTTGGCTTATTGTTGTCATTTGTCTCTAAACCTCTGTATTGCTTGGTATATACTATCAAAGTTTGAATATTACCGTTACTAATTGGTCCATTCGAAATCGCTTACGGTTCGGATTATTTTCTATAGTTCTAGTGCAATTTAAAACCAGAGGCCATGATAGAAAATTTCATATTTTTGTTTTGCCTGTATATATATATATTGTTTCTCGATTCATTTAGCTCATTGTCTTGTTTGCATGAAATTAGTTTGATGTGGGGGAGGGTATTACAGGATTGTTAAGAATAAAGTAGAAGTGGATGGTGAATTCGGCGCTTCTAACATAATTGTTGAGTAGGATAGGTTTGGGGTGGACTGGAGTTGGTTTCCATGATCGAAGATGAACTGGGGGAATTTGGACTTGATGAGTTCGATTGCTTTGATCTCCTAAATGGAAAACAAAGTATGCTTACTACTCAGGTGATTTAAGTAGTTATATATTTCGCCTTTATCTTACGAGTTGGCGTTGCTTGCTGACGATCCATCATGTAGTCTGTTGTGCATCTTCATACCGCGCGGAGTTTGTCCAATGTATCCACATAGGCGACAGCGGAGTTCAGAGCTTCCACCCACGTGTTCCCATTCTCCGTTTATTGATCGAACTGAAGGAGAGGTTTCACTACTATCTCCCCCCTGGGACTGTGGTGATGTTGGAGGACGTGTGGTATTAGTAGCTTTTAATGATGTCTGGCAGGCCTCTGCAACTACATCTTCGATTCGCCGTCTTTTTGGTGAGCGTGATTGCTCCGAACAAGTTGAGGACTTGGTGCTCTGGGGAGTTGAAGATGCTGTATTATCCTGGTAACCTGCCACGGTGTTTTCGGATGCTATGCTTCCACCTATTTTACGCCTCCCTTGACAGTAGTATTGTTGATGTGCCTAAAGCAATGTTAGAGTACTGAAGTCTCTTCTGCTGTGACTTGAGGCAGATATGAACCTATAATGATACCTGGATTAAGTCTGCCTTACGTAGTTCGAGAGAGCTACTGCCGAAATGTTATCATATCGTAAGATTACTAACACTGGAGAAAATAGCAGATTTCAGAAAGTGTCAAAAGGGATGGTGGACAGGATCCGGCTCAACTTTTCTCATGAAATGATGTGTGCTTAAGCTCCTAGGAAGTCATTAATAACAACTGAAATGACAGATACGAATGTTATTTTAAGGTAACTGTCAGTGATCACAACGGGATTATTGGTGATACAAGCACGTAGGTCCATGTGACTCCAAGCCACAGGATATGTATTTTGTTTTAAATTGATATCCGGTCATTTTTGGCGGTGATGAGATGAATACTAGCTGCTGGTCCTGACGTTTTGGTCAAGACTTATCATTGATCTGACTATGGCTCGACCCACGGTTGCCAATTGTTCATAAGTCTTAAAAACCCTTTTTTCTGCTTTCCTTAGGAAGGATTATCCTGGCAATATCGACTTAGTTTTACGTAAAATGATTCGAAGATCTTTTTTCTCCTAATTTCCTCGTGTCGATGTTCTTTAGACTGTTAGCAGGTTTATTTAGGATCCATAACCCGAACTTCTTGATATCTTCGCTATCCATTGAGCTCAATAATCTTTGAATATTCATAAGCAACAGTTTTCAGTTACTTAATAAGGTATTAAAAAAATAAACCTCCTAAAAATTTGTTCCAAAGTGTTAGCTTTGGCCACGAAAATTTCGAAATAAAATAAAAGCGCAAACTCTTATCAAATGGATAAATCAATGAAATAACCGTGCCTGGCGCCTTAGTGTGAGTCAATTTTAAGGAAAGATAGACGAAGAAGCACATATGGTTGGAGGGAAGAGAGCTTATCTCATCAAGGGAGCACTTCTCCCTACCGCAAACCCCCACACGCAAGCACCGGCGCCAACGTCTTCCCCTAACAAGCCTTCTTTATCTTCCGACTTGGCGCCTAGCAGCCACAGAAGAAGGTGAGCGGTCGTCTTCGTCTTATCTTCTCGAATCATTCATCAACTCACACGAACATTTTCTCTCCATTTCCCTATTAACCTCTTTGGCCTTAAAACTCTCCTTTTCTCAGATAGGAGATTTTACGTGTAATCTGTGATCACTTCGGGAAAGAACAGTCTTCATACAAACCCTCCGGGGCAAGAATCTTCTTACTCTTACTTTGAGATTGGAGGAAACAACTTGAAGCCACAACTTTTGGCAAAGAAATAGAAAAAAATGGACTAGCAACAGTATGAACTGTGAAGGCTATTCAGAAGTCCCGACCCAGATTAAAAGAAAGTTTCCTTTGTACTTTGATTTATCAATGATATCACCTTGAACAAACATTAGATACTTATCTCTGTTAAATGGAAATTTTTTAATTATCTTCTACTCTTTGTACCCTTCAATTTTACGATTTGTCGGGTATTCTGTTAGCCGACTTCATCTCCTCCTCATAATTAGAAATGGTAATCTTTTATATCCCTATAGGTAATAATTATAATACTAGCCCATGACACTAATAGGAGCGTTTGGATGGATGAATTTCTCAGCATTTGAAATTCCCAAACCAGAAAGGAGCAAATATTTGATTGGTTGAGAGATATGTTGTTTTTAGTTGTATAAATAAAGTAGCTATAATTGGGCAATCCTTGTAAACAAGATTGCAAGTTCAAGTATAATTTTAAACAAGCATTTTTAAGATGGCTGAACCGCCAGCAGGAAGTATAATCTAAAGGCATTAGTCTCAATGATTTGCAAAATTATCATTTGACCGGAAGACTTGGAGATTTGAATGGAGGAGGGAGGAAAATAGTATTCAGGTCATTCTGTGGAAAAAAAGAATAATCACTGGATCAAACCAAGCTAAAGTGCTGCCTTCATGAGAGCCTATGGGATTCTCACTCCTTACTTATGCTATTGTAATTTAGAAAGTAATCTTATTGAATAAAAGTTACCAATCACTAGGTATATCAAAGCAAGGCAAGTTAACTGTTTTCGCATTATTCCATCTTCTGTTGTTTCTGTAAAGGTCAATGAGGTAAGGTCAGAATTTATAGCCAATTGCTGTCTTAAATTTTTTCGCTAATCTAAGTATGGGACAATGGATTGAGATCACTTATAGGGAGTGCCCACATTTTTTCCCTTAACTTTTCCACCTTCATCCAATTATTTTTGAATTTCTTTGGGCTAGTTAGAAATCTAAATTCTAGGTAAAACGCAGCAGTTTAAAGCCTTGTCAGATTTTAACCGACATAAGCACAAGACCCTAAGTTTGAATATTACCTTGAATGTACTATGAGCTTGAAATCTCGTCTGACAGTTGTTGCAAAGGTAGGGTCTTTGAACCTCGACACTAGTAAGTTGTCCTTCAGTGGAACTTCGACCCATTTCTCCACCTGACGACGAAGTGTTAAGTTGATGTGGCTGTAAAGAGGAGGCGGTGACAGCTTGGAGTAGGGCTTCTAAAGTCGCAGCATCGGGCAGTTTTCCTCCACTGAGCCACCAATTTGCAGGTGGGGGTGGTTGTGGAACGGGAGTAGTCAAGCCACCTCCAACAAGTCCTGAAAAGAGCGATGCTAGGAGATTGTTTGTAGCAGCAATAGGAACAGAATTAGCTCCCTGCTGAAAAGTATTCTCCTTCTCTGTCTCTTCGGAAACCGAAGATCTTCCTGTTCGTAGATCTAATGGAGCTCTGCTTCCAGACTCTCCAATTTGTCCTGAGGCAGGCACTGTCCCTCCATTGCAATCTGGATGAACAGGAACGTAGACAAACCCAGCATCCGTAATGATCGGAGCTGTCATTACTAAACCCAGACGCTTTGAAGTCTCTGCTAGGTGTGTGACATCCGTATTTCCTTCATCAGCCAGCTTTTTCAACTTTTGGCTGATGTTGACGTGGAACTGGTATATCGAACTGGAATAAAACCGTTGGCAACCATGACAAAAGGGTGTGCGAGGTGACTTTTCTTCCAATGGTTTGGAGTGATTGATTTGCGGATGAAGTGTTCCAAGTGTGAGATGTGGAATGTCTGTAGGAGGAAGTTGGGGTCGAAGGCGCGCGAGCGAAGCGAGAGTTGATGCGAAATTTAAAAATGGATCACCGGCATTAAAAACTCCCGCCATTTCGTTAGGAGGATGGAGAGCACGGTGAAGACCAGTGGGAGAGGTCCCTGCTGCAACTCCTCCGTGTCCCATTCTACTAGTCGAATGGGGTGATTGCGGAGTGCTGCTTGAAGCGTTTCCATTTAGACGTTTTCCAGGAGTTGTCCGACTCGGCCATGGAAAAGCTGCCAAATAAAAACGAGAATAAATTAGGTAGTACCACTTACTTGGGTTTTTAACGGACTTCACTAATAGAGATGACCAAAGGAATTACTTCTTCATTTGGTCAGTGTGTGGGATGTAATTAGTAAATCGATAATCATAGAGCTGCTATCTAAATGGGGTGAATTAAGATAAGGCATAATTCGCACCCCTCCCCATCCCTCGTTTGAAAATAAATTTGATTTGCTTAATTGAAAAATACAGATTTACTTATAACAGAATCAGCTGGAATTTGTTGAAGTAATTACGTGCGTCGAAATTCTAAACGATCAAGATAATTTTTGTTCATTTGAACTAATCACCCTGTGCAATCTACGACTCGAAGGAGGACTCAATCGAGATTGAGTTATTTGATCAAGAAGCAGAAAGTGGTAGGAAGGTAAGTAGAGAAGTCAATTATCCACCCCTCCACACCTCTATCTCTCTCCCTCTCTCGGGTTCTCCACTGCCGACATTAAAGGATAGGGCTAGAAGGAGCGAGAGAGAGAGAGAGACTATGAGTGAGTTTTATCGATGGAGTATGAGATATAATCGACGACTCACCTGGCCATTTGAGATAACTCGAACGTTCTCCTTTATCCTCTATGTTTGTCCTCACTTCTTATCTCCTGTGTATCAACATTAATCTAGCATTCTACCCCGTCCCCTCCCATCTCCCACATCTACAACTAACAATTTCTTTTTTGCAGAAGAAAATATCGTGAAATAAATAAGAGGGATTATATATATATATATATACATGAAGTAATGCGTACGTAATACGTACGTATGTGTGGAATAAGCATTTCCACTTATTTAACTGAAGTAGTGTTGCTTAAATCAAATTTCTCCAATGACAATTTAAACAAAAATTTGAGTGAGTTTCTTCAGTTTTCAAAGTCATTAGCCATAATAACAATCGAATCACTGCTGCCTCAAAATGTATTACTTCAAAATAAGAAATGAATAATTAAATAGGGGGAAGTGTGATTGGAACCAAAATTTACTCACCGGGATTCGGGGTTGTTGAATTTTTCCCAACACCTGAATCACTAGAGTCGGTCGTGCTGGTTGAGCTCTTGTCAGCAGAATTTGCGACTGTTCCACTAGCATTTCCTCCGATTGTATTGCCTGACGAAGTAAGTTGAGGCCTACGCGAGCAGTAATTTGTCATGTGGGCTGTGAGAGTATCCACACTAGAGAAGAATATACCGCAGTAGAGACACTTCTTATCACGTTTTGGGCCCCCTATGGAGGTTGAATTAGGCCCAGGAGTACTTGAAAACCCTATACTGATCACAGGTGGTGAAGGAGAACCGCTTTTTGTTGTTCCAATAGAATCTAAGCAAAAAAAGAAACGGAAGAATTTCGGAGCTTACTGCGGCAATATGGCTCCTACAACAGGTAGATTCCATCTAGAGACGCCGTGGGGACTATCAAATCCTATCATTCTCCATATTAGTACGTTATATAACTAGGTCGGAGCCGGTTAGCCTTCCCGGTAGTGATCAGACCTCTCTCTCTCTCCCTGGCATCCGGCATCGACTCATAAATTTACTGACTCCTGTATGTGCATCCATCTGTGCAGTCTGTGTGTGTGTGTGTGTGCGTTTGTAGATAAGCATCTGCAAACATAGGACGGGGAGAGAGGGAGTAGGAACATTTTTAGTCGGAGCCACCCAGCACATTAAGATCGCTTGGGAAAATTACTCCTCCCCACTCCCACCCTTTCAATCTGGACAGAAAGAAGTCTGCATTGGGTTAAACAAACTCCTCCCCATCAATGGATCTAATCATCTAATACCAATTTCTTCAATCTGAATCCGTTTCCCCTAGTGAATGTAAGAGATCTACCCATATGCTTATATCCCTCTAAGATGCACCTTTTGGCTGATAATATAATGACCTAAGTATCAAAGTAAGGTAGATGGATGAGCACGTAATGAAGTGCATGACCTCCCTCCCTCCTGCTCCTCCATTACAGAATATTTTAGCACCATTTTATCTGGCGCCTGGAAAGCCATTTCTAAGGAATCCACCGACGGTGATGGAAGCGCGATAAGACGATGGGAAAAGGAAGGTGGAAATACTCACTGGAATGAACTAGCTTGACTATTCCACGAATTTGGCTGCCCGATGAGATATTGGAGAGTGCAACAACCGTGATGGTCTCCATTGAGGCTAAAATTATTACAAAATAAAGATAAAATAGATTATTAACTTAGTTAGTACTTTGTGACTTTCTTGATAAAATCTATTGTAGTAATTGATCATAAGCAATAATTGCATTGGTTCCCTTCCAACTTACCATCGACATCAATCTCCACATTGCAGGCATCTGAAAAAGTTGGTTCCTGAAGAAGTTTTATCCACGCATTTTCCTCATTCACTCGCACAATAAGATCGCATGAATTTCGGGTCTGAATGCAGAATAGAATTAAAAAAAGGACTAGTTAACCGTCCTCAGCTTGAACAAAAAAAATTATATGAACACATCCTCTTACTAAGATGGTGATCTCTCTATAAACCATAGCAGAATTACTTTCACCAACTGGGCTAATATTGCGGAAGATTCCTGCAGTTCTGTAGGGTCCCCAAACATGGCCCACGGAAATATCACAGGTGGCCCGAAGAGAAGGCTTATCTGACGATGCGTTCAAGGCCATTTTCAATTCAAGGGGGAGTCTAATGTCAGGGTAGGGTTGGGATGTCGATCTACGATCGTCGGGTCGTTTGGATTCAGCTATAACAGAAAGGGAAGTAGCGTGAAGGAGGTAAGGCGTAAGTTTGCGACGTACATCATTGTAGATGCGTGTTGGTGATAGGCCACCTTTGTGGATTTATAGTAACAGCAGTATTTATCCGCATTCCTTCATCTTCCCACATTCTCTTTCCGCTAAGTAAATGACAGCACAATGACGATAAAATCTATCTCGGAAAAGAATACCACTTTTGTAAATTACGCCAGAAAACAGACTACTTTCTCTCTCTCTCTCACCTTTGCACACTTACCACTTTACTTTTAAATTACATGCATTTTGCAAACTTTTACTTGAAAAGAAGAAGAAAAAAAGCTTATCAGCTACTGAGATCTTGGTTAACTTGTTGACTGTTCGGTTTAGGATTTGGTATTTGGAAGACGAAAGAGGGGGGGGGGGGGG